TAGAAAAAATGTACTGTGGCATTCTGAAATAATCTGCTCTTCCTTCTATTCTTTCCCATTTTAGGTGAGATTGTGTCCTTCGAGCTGTATCTCTAAATGAATGGTGTATAAAATAACACAGGTAGTGAAGAATTACTATTTTTTCTGACTACAATATGGGTCCTTCCAGAAAAGGCCAAATTGACAATGACACCTTTGTTATTTTCTGTGGTTATCTCCTTTGGTAACAGTTCAGATTTTTCTTCTCAGCCAGAGGCACATAAGAAAACATCCCCTGAACACTAATTCTGATAGAGAGTTCAGGCTCTCAATACCAAAAGATAGGCTCCTATTCATATAGGTGGACACATAAAGACAGATTTCAAGTACATAATGGAGCTCAGGTGCAAAGCATATGCACTTATATAAATATATTCAAAAATTCAGTTTAGATATGTCCTTTACTACCTCCCTGAAAACTTGTTTTCTTCAGGGAATAAATCAACAGATGAAATATCAAAAGAACATCAAGTGTAAATACTGATAATTTTACATATTTATTTAAATGCATAGATGTTACAAAACAGATCAAAATGATGTACATTTCTTTATAGTTTCATAGCATTAGAAGTTGAAACAGGGATACAAACTTATATCTCAGGTATAACATGTATAGCATCATATGACAATATGAAAGAAATGCTGTATTGATAAGTTCACTGCACAACGTGTTACACAACAAGCTTTCTTCTCTGAAAAAAACAGATATAATCCCACCCACATAATTATAAAAAGAAAAATCTAAGCAAAAAATTATGACAATATATAATAAGAGGGGGAGAAAAGGACATTTCACTGAATGAACATTGACATCTCTTTTTTTTTGGCTTGGGTTCACATAGAAAACATAGGAACATCTTTTTCCAACCCTCAACATCTTCAGACCTCAGAAAAATCTTTCCTTGTTGCATATGGAAAAAAAAAGCAGCTGTAGATGGTTTGCTTCTTAAACAAACCCTGCCTTTAAGCACCATTTCAATTACGTAAGAGCACCCTACATGGAACAAAGCTGTTTAACTCCACACAGCTATTAGATTCCAATATTACCATTCACTCTTAAGGAAAAAGTTTATTAATGTAAATATTGCATCTAAGATACTTCCTGACTTATATGATGATCTACTGAAACTGTAGCAAGTTTAGAGCATGATGAATAGCCCAGTGATTTGAGTAACAGTTGCTGTTGTGAGCTAAACATATATAACCTTAGGGATATTCTCTCTTATGCTGAAAAAAAAAAAACAAAACCCACCAAACAAAAACCCAAAACAACTCAAACATAATTTATACAGATTGTCAGTCTGAGGGATTTCTGAGGAATTTACAACCCGATTGCCAAACAATAAGGTTTCAAAATCTTACTCCACTCTGAATTTTGTCTTTTGGCGGGAGACAAGGAGATAATACTACATTTCAGCCATTCCAATCTGGTTTTCTCACACTCCACACTCAGAAGAGCTCAGCAGAGTGGGCATAACGATGGAAAGCTTATATGCGTTCCACTGACTTGTGTGAATTTCAAAATTCACTGCCTTGCAGTATAAAAAAGAAATTTCTCTAACAGAAAATAACAATATCCTGAGGGAAACTCAGTAAATTAGATTAATCAAAAAGAAAGGCTTGAAATTACCAATAGTAATGATTTAATTTGATTTATTTTGAGTTTATTTTATTGAGCTAACCAGATGGGCTGTTGACCATCTGTTGAGTTAACCAGATGAGCAATTGCTTTATTTTTTCTTGATTTTCCATTTATTTTCTATTGAAAGAAAACAGTTTGAGAAGGCTGTGTTTATTTCAGGTTATTACTGACAGAAGTCTAGTGTTCTCCTTATGAATCCAAATGGGAAGGTTTGTGCACTTTGAGATCATCAGACCAATTATGATCTCACAACGTGTGAATTTTCTGTTTTTCAATTTTGCAAAAATTCTTGGATTCCTATGAAATCGAACCAGTATCGGAATTCTCAACCACAAGAGGGCATCCATGCTTGCAACCTGATCCCAGAAGATAAGATACATCGATCCATCTACATGTAGACATAGATATGGATATGGATATAGATACAGATTTGTCTCTTTCTGTTAGATCCCAGTTGTGGTATAGAGCACTTTTGCTCTGGAAGATTTTTAGAGCGCCACAATATTTCCCAGTTTGATGGGGGATGGCACATGAAGTCTAATTTTGCTGTCCATAAAGCTCTCACGGAGTCCAACTTTCTCAGTCCTACAAAAGTTATGTTAAACCTCACACGGTTTTCACTGAAGCCTGACCCAACTCATATCAAATTCAGAGGTGAACAAACTGCTCTCAGAGAAGAGATCCCCAGGATAAGTGTGCAAGGTCAAGCACAGGTTTTCTGACATCATTTATTACCCCAGAAAGAGGATTTGGGATAACCCAAACTTGCTCAGCATCAATCTGAAGTTATGACTGTCAGAGGTCTTACTCTCCCCACAATTTGTTCCACAAGTTCTTCACTTTTGTGATGAGGGGAGGGTGCTGCTTGTCTTGGTTTTGAACTGGAATACATTTTCCTCTCTGATGCACATAAAACTCTCATTACAGCCTAAAACAACCATAAAAAGAAACTCTGAAAGTAAACCTGGCCTAGTGGCAAATCATATGCTTAGCTCAAAAACACCTCACAAACACTGGAGTGTATATGGTAATATTGGAAGTAAACATCATTGTCCACAAAAAAAATAATGTATAACTTCAGCACCAGAACATAGAGGTTAGCACCAAAAGGTATAAATTGTTACCCATCATCTTACATGTTTAAATGAGGCAATAAAATCACAAGCAGGCATTATAAACAGCTGCACTCAATATTTAATGATATTAATGACCTCATTTTTGCACTTGTGTCTCTCACAGTATTTTGACCAAAAATATTTTTAGGCTTATTTTAGTTTGTGTATACTTCCATAATTTTATATTTAGAACAGAAGTCTGAGCTAATTTCTCTGTCTTTAAAGGCATACCACTCTACTTGGACGGAATTAACACAAATCTTCAAGGCTATCAGAATAGCAAATGGCAGTATTTTGCCTCAGCATGGCCTTGAACTCATCAAGTATTTTCCTCAGAGTGTATCAGAGCAGATATACTGCCAAAGACATCTGAAGTTTTCTGTGCATTTCAGTACTTTTGTTCTAGCAGCACTTGATGTCAGGTAATCAGGCAGGCAGCACTGACACTGGCAACCAAAGTAGAGCTTTATGGCTATTGTCATTACCTAGTCCAAGAGAAAAAAGATGGTAGAAATTGGGCTGATTCAAATAGGTAATGCAGAAAGGCCTTCAGTAAACTACGTATCAAACACAGTCGAAGGGCAAATTTCATCTGGTAATCAAATACATGATGAGCTGTAATCCTCTCTGTTCAGTGAAAAACATTCAGCTAATGCTTGAGTGCTTGTGGCTGGTTTTATCAGGAGCTGCTCGTATGAAGTAGCTTATATCCAGATCATTTTTTACTGCTGTCAGTTACAGTGTGATTACAATAGTTAATCCCTAGCACCATTATGGGATGTTGTGAAAAAACCTGCATACTGTTTGTTAAAAGCAAAGTTTTCTATGTCCATGAAAAACAAAATATTCCACAAAATCAAGGCATTTGTAGCAACTTAAAAAGTAACAGATACAATAACATATATACCCGTTATGATAAATTCAGCTGAATTACAGAATTATAAATTAATTTACAATGTCTTAGTCCTGTTTGGAAAATGTACCATACAACATACAAGTTGCAAGTTCCAAAGTGCATAGTAATTTATTGTTAGACCTACTGCTGTAGGGTCCATGGCTTAACCTGAACGTTTGCTTATGCTCTGCTTATCTTCTATTAAAAAAAAATATTGAAAATAGCTAGATACACTGTTTTAACTGTGTTGTCTTTACCACTACAGAAGATTTCTTACGCAGAACAAAAACTTATTTGTCACGTGCATCTTTTTCAAAAACTGGGCTGGATGAGGGCTAGTGCTCCACCTAGTAGTTTTGTCTCAATGAATCTCAATGTGTACATAGATGATGAAAAAAGGTTGTGTTTCTCTTGCAAAACAGGACTGGATTTTACTCAACCAAAGTTTTTGACTGATTGAGCACTGTCCAAGTCCGAATCTTTTAAACCAAAAGGAAAACCATTTATATTATAACTGATAGAATGAAACATAGTAGACTATGACAAGTGTTATTCTTTTTAAACATGGATATAAAGATAAACCTGTCTAGTTATTGACCTGTCAGATACAGAAGTGACACTAACCAGAAATGCCTGAAGACCCATAGGTCAGTTGCTGACATCCTCTGAGGGATCAGATTATGGACAGCTGGAGAGTGGCAGCAACATTTCATAATCTGTAGAGCCCATTCCCCCCCCACACAGCTATCTTAGTGGATTAAAAATATACATGAAGAATTCAAACTCTGGTATTTCCTTTTATATCACCAATATGATACTTGATATTTTGGTGACAATCTCAAACACCCTCAAAAGGACTGAAGTAGTGACTTAAGGACACATATATATGTTGAATTAGTGAAATCCTCTGTTGTTCTGCTTGCTCTGTATTGCTTTTCAAAGTTCATAAACTTCAGAAGTCTAAATGTAGCAGTGCGAGCAGACTAAACACATATATTTAAAGTGGAATACACTCTGGCCTGTAATACAAAGCCAAAACTCAAGACTATTTCAATGAAGTAGTAGTTGTGGCAGATAATTGATTTCCTCCTTTTCATAATCTGTTTTTCAAGAAAACTACCTGTATAATATTACATCTTAAAGTGTAGGTCCTCTTTATAAATGTTCTAGTAAGCACCCACAAGTGTTCACGTTTTAGTAGGAAAGGTATGAGTAAAAAGATTTGGGTTTTACTAATTCACACACATCTTTTCAAGAAACACTGCAATATATACTAAAGGACACTACATATTGATTTAGAATTTCTGTAAAAAAATCTGTATGAAGTTTAAAGTTGCCTAATGTCCTTTATTTGGAAATCCTATAATCTAATTTCAAATCTGATCTCTCCTTGAAAGTTTACCTGGCTGAGTTTCAGTCAGTGGGATAACACATATACGGGCAAACTTAACAGTGTAAAAGACAGTATGGATGTCATGTATTGATGTATGTTACTTTGTAGCAGTATATTTCTTCACTTCCTGTACAAGAATAAATATACTGCTGCAAAGCACCATTATGCCATCATGACTGTGTTCAGAAACACAGGAATTTAGAATTAGGCTGTGCTATTATACCAATATTTAAAGTGATGTAGCTTTCTACCCAGGTAAGACTTTAGGCCTGTGAGTTAACAGCCACTGCATCTTGGCTAGTGTGGTTCCTCATTATCTCTAATTTTCCTGTCTGTACACCAGCATCGATGACAGCAGCAGCCATGTGCTGAACGCTTCAAATGCCATAAACAAATTGATGTTGTGCATGAGGTAGGTAATCCTGCAGTTTCTCTTGCACATTTGTTTTCCTCTGCTCAGAGTCCCATTGACATTGCAGGTGAAAGCACCAGTGTAAATGAGAGGAACCAATAAGAGTGTGAGAACAATTTGTTGCTTTGCACATCACACTCCATTTTTAAAGCACAGTATTAAACAATGACCTTTCTCTTTCTGGAGCTATTATCTTTTAAAGGAAGTCATATTCTTTAATCTTTTAATGTGCTTTTTATAGAGCCTAATCTTCAGGAAGCTACACTTGCTAAGGTGAAAATTATTTTGCTCTCCTTTAACAAATTATTAATAGAAAAGGGTTAATGCGAGTCTTATATCCAAAAGTGTTAAAACCAAATTATACTATACTTTGAAAGCTAATTATACAAAAGCATACAAAAAGAAAACATCAGAGTATTATTACAATATCTCTCTATATATAATATGTGCAAAATTCAATATACAAGCTTCTTGTTACTCATCCATGGGTTTTTGGGGTTTGGTTTGGGGTTTTTTTTTCAAAATAATGTAAACCTTAACTTATTTAAACCAGTACAAGTAGTTTGAGGTTACTCCTGGGAAACAAAGATTGTCAGTACAAGAACCTCCATAGCTTGGAGGGCAAGCTGAACATGGGACTCCTACTTTATATGGTGCTTCTCCAATCCAATTCCCCCTGAAAATAATAAAGGAAAATGAATGCTTAGTAAGGTCAGAGAGGAAGAAAAATAATCATTAAACATAGTTGTTTCGAGAAATTAAAGGTTTTGTCTTCAGTGATACCCCATAAACGCCCTGTTACCGAAAATATACATTAATATATTTCTGGAGGTTACTGACAAGTATTGATCTACCAATTCCCCTAAACCAGCAGGAGAATGACCATGTCACCCCAGGCCAGTGGTCAATTCTATATCCTTTAGTCTCCATGGTAAAGTCCCAGTTTTCCTGGTTTTGCTTCAGCCAAGTGATTTTTGATTCTCTGAGCCTGGGACGGAGTATTTTTCACTGGAGGGCTGTATTTATGAGACCTTAGCAACATAAACATTGGTGCAAGGTTTTCCTTGAGCAGTTTCTTGTCTGGCAGTTATCTTAAAGCTTGGTTTTAAGGCAACTCTTGAAAAGTGGAAAAATAAATTGAGTGAACTCCTGTTCTTAGGTTGGACTACCCCAGGTCCACATTGTGAAGCTCTGAGGTAGAATCCATGGTTAGAGAAAAGGTAAGATGAAAATTATTCTCAACAGTAATATATTAAGAACTGTATTTGGGCATTTATAGTGGTCTCATTAATGGGAGGAGAAGGAGGACTTCCATCTGGTGAATAGTGCAGTGTAATAAAGCCTGAGAGGAAAGGGGTACAAGTCTGGAAACTGATCATGTGAAAAGAGGTTATTCTGAAATATCTAAGAACATCTGGAAAACACATCTAGACTTTAGGTGCTTATATGAAACCTGGGCTTTTAGAGATTCATGTAACATTCATGATGTAGGCAGAAAGAAAGTTAAAATTAGACTTTGATTTAAATGTTACGTCTCACTGAGCAGGCAACTTTCCTCTCGTTTGCATGTGACATGGTATAGCAATGAGTAATGCAATTATTTATGAAACATTTTCTCATCCTCCACCTCCAAGCTAGTAACACTGGATCAAAAGCCCTGGTCTGGGCTGTGCCTTGGAATAAAGTAGGAATCTCTCAAATAATTTTCTCATTCCTACTTCTCTTCCAAATGGGTACAGCAGGCTGAGTGCTCAGGAAATATATTTAATTTGATAACAGATACGGAAATCCAGAAAGCTGATTTCTGCTTCATTTTCTATGCAACACATGGCTGATTTCTGTGATTCTGATAGAAAAGCAGGAGCAGGGACTTTTAAACTTTATAGTTACCCTCTTAAACTTTTTTCCTGATTTCAGAAGCATAGATTTTGTTTCAGCATTACAGCACAGTATCAGTGAAAATTATTTGAGTTCTAAATCCTAAATCTTTGCCAAATTCCAACCTCAATAACTTGGGTCAGAGCTGTAATACCCTCTTCTTGTTTAGAGGAGTTCCCTACTCAGAAAGACATAGTCTATTGACTGGCAAAGAAAATTCTGCATGTGTGCCCAAGGACTCTAAACCAAATCTACTTAATCTAATTAATTCTTGGAAATATGAACTTAAGCCAGACAAGACCGCTCAGTATCCTTTTTGTAACTGTGCAATAAGTACATGGGAAACCCCCAATTCTACTACCTATAAACCAAAGTTCTACTCAAAATCTTATCCAGAGAAGAAGCTTGTAACCCCAGACTTTGGTTTGCTGTTTGAGAAACAATGGGATTTTTACACTGAGAAAATGTAAAATGTCATTAATTGATTGTTAACATACACACAAACAATGCAGCAGTTTTCAATAATGTGTAATGTATAAGCCTATTCTTTTCTTATATATGTACATGAGAGATGTACTCTCGAAGTTTATAATTTATTTTTTTTTAATTAGGATACACCATAAGTAATATTTGGGTTTCTCTTATAAACTTTGATTTCACCTTGTCCACGTTGTAGAGCTAAAATTCAGATAGTTCTGCTGCCTGATCTTTGCTCCCTCATATACATTTCTTATCACCCTTTTCTACTAGATATTAAAGACAAAATGACAGAGAAATCTTTTTGATTCCCACAGGCCATTTTCCCTGAATTCCATTTTCTTACTAAATCCTATCTTTTTTTTAAGTTGCAGAATCTTTAAAAATTCTTTTACTCATGTAACAGCTAGAATAATGACATATTCTTGCATGCTCTTTGCCACAAATGGACCTGTGCCACTGTGAGTTTATGGAAAACATGCTCAATTAATTATACTTAGATTTCTGTACAGAACTATGGCTTTGCCTGATATAGAGTCAGAGAAAACAGCCATTTACATTGCCCATGCTGCTTATGAAGCACTGGTCCAAACCAGACCTCAAATCGAACCTTTCCCAGAGCCACATTATTGATCCATTCTGCACCCAGATATAAGTTTGGGATGATATCTAGGAAATGCAGGGGGAAAATTAATTTCTTCATTTCAACCTAACACGTCTTGATACAGGTGTAGCACAGCTACTTGATACAGGGCTGCCTATGGCTGTCCTTTGAAGGACCCTAACATGGAAGGCAAGATGAGATTTGGAGACACTGAGCTTAGGTAGATGGACTTTGTAGGAAACCTATGCTATGGATACCCTTATGCAGCATGGTCATAAGCAAAAGCATCTTGTGGGCAACAACAAGTGTTCACAGTAAATCAAGGGTCTGAACTACAGTGGGATTGCTCACCTGAAGAAGACTAGGTCACCATGATTATATTTAACAGAATGAAGAAATAAGGAATTGAAAGTGAAGCGGAGTCAGCATAAAGAAGGAAGATAATGATGAAGATGATAATAATAATCCAGAAAAAAAAAGGGTTTGGGTTTGTTCCTTACACATCAAGTTATTTCCTTTTCTTCCTTGTATACCAAAGTCATGCATTTTTTTGTATATTCATTTGTAAAGTTAGAACGAAGGAGCAGCCAGCAGAAAAAGCACAAGAGGTCAAGCTGCAGAAAAAGGAGTAAGCAATCCTATGAGAGGACCAAAACATGCATGAAGTATAAAAGTAAACAATATTTAAAAGAAAGCAACTCACTTTGGCGCATAGTTGCATACCAAGTAAACAGCTCGTCGCCAAACAGATCCCCAGACGTTCATATTGTGGCATGTGTGGATTGCGCAGCCTATACGATTGGAAGTGGCCCAAACCATCTGAATAAATATTTATTATTGGTGAAGTCCAAATTGAAAGGAAATATATATATATATATACACACACACACACACATTTATTTGAGAGAGAGCTATAAATACATGACAGAAAAGTCCAGCTTTGGACGATAGATTTTGAATAGAAGAATGTAATTCATATAACCTGTGTGTAATGGGTGCACATGGGTCCGTAACATCGCATGGGGCACCTGGGATTGCAGTCCTGAGGGTAAGGGAAAGCATAATCCTTCACCTCATCGTACCATGGCTTTACCAGCTGGAGAATAGATCGATACCTGTGTTTGTTTAAAATACAGAAAGAAAAACATGTAATTTTAGATTTAAGTCTTTTGGAACTTTCTGCTGCTAATTCCTCTGATGCAAGTCACCTAAATATACATTTCTCCATGCATCACTAGAGGCACAGCATTAAGCAGTAATACTCTTAAGCCAAATGAACACAGATAGATATCAATTATTGCTAGAATACTGGATGACAACTTGCATCAGTCTAAGATCTGGACCTCAAAAGGTGTTCAAAGACTGACAAAATAACTGTTTTGTAGGGTATCTGCCTACCTTCCAGTTCTTACAGATAGGTTCTGGCCCAAGAATCTTAGCAAGTAGGAAGGTCCATGGTCCCAAATGCATGTAGCAGCCCAAGCCTCTGCAGATTTGGCAAGAGTTTCATCCCAAACCTGACAAAATAAAATATCCATACAGTAGAATGAAAAAAAACAGATAGTGATCACACTGCAAGAACACAAGAAGCAAGTAGCTTAAGTCACAAATACACTATCATAACACACCAGGTGGGTAACCAGGCACACAGCTCTTCAATTCAGAAAACTGTGGGGCAGCATGTACCGGATGTAGCAGGATTTGCCCTAACACTGGACAAAATTCCCACCCACGTCAGAGGAAGCCAAGTATTCAGATCTCTCCCTTTTTTTCTGGAAAAGCCCTTTACTGAACAGGCATTCTCCTACCATTTCTCCTTCTGTGTTGATGAGATCCATGTGTAGAGAGGAGTGAAATGTTGGCTGAGACTCAGACAGAAAGTCAAAGTGAAGGAGAGGCACAGGAGGAAGAACAGTTCAGCACAGGTATTACATACCCCACAAAACCCCAACACATTTGAAATAGGATCTCAAGAGTATATATAGCCAGAGAGGGTGTGTGTGGCAGCTTTTCATATTTGAGGACAGAAGGTCAAGAAAAGGGATTCCACAAATGCAAAGACTATGGATAGTTTCCAGGTGCAGTATGAGTTTCACCACAGGAGCTGACATTACTCCCTGCCTGGAATAAAAAAATAACTCTGTAAGAAGAGACAATTTGACTTCTTAAATTCTCCAATGATGGGAACATGACAAGTGAACTTAAATACTGTCTCCTTTATATGCTTTGCCTGCTCAAATTCTTAATTTGTAACTCTGCCGCCTTCTACATAGCAAATGGGCTTCTATCAACAATAACAGAGAAATCAGCAGTAGAATCTGCTGTACTATTGGACATCCAGATAAAGAAAACTGTTATATCACAAGTATGCATAAATCCTACTATAACTTAGTGTTTAAGTGATATCCAACTAGGCTGTAGATCCTGGAGTTAGATGTAAATTTTTAATACCCTGAGTGGAGTGTTTTGATGCAGGATAGTTTTAGTGAACTTCCAGTAAAAAGGCAGGAACAGAATGTGCTTACCCAGCCCAGTGCAGCTTTTTAAACCCAAACTCATAAATCTCGAGTGGCTATGAAATAAAGAGTATGCTCTCTCAAGTATGAAATAAGAGGCAAAATCAGAAATTAACTTATCAAAGGATAAGGTGGCCCATGCCACAGATATTTTCTGTACTATGAACTAATCATGAGATTTCTAACACTGAATTCACAGCTTTAATTTTGCAACCTGCAGAGTGAGCAGACTGCACAGACCACGGACCAGGAAAGTAATTCATGTCCTGACTCTGTCTGGTAGTTCGTGAAATTTCTCTAAGTGAAAATGACAAAATTCAGTAAATTTTATGAAACTGCTAATATTGAGCAGGTAGGGTACCTTCTAGATTGAAACTGAAGCATCACAACAGAGAGCAATATGAACCCTTAATGCAAACAAACTTTCATTCAAGTTGAACCACCCTAGGAAAAGTAAGATGGATGGTGCTTAAAGCAGGGCATATTTACTTTACACCTATTTATAAAGAGTCCCAGAATAAAGTCAAAACAAACTGCCAGTAAAAGGACAAAACAGAGAAGTGTCAGGAAGCAGCATGCTAAGAAGGACTGGTCTTAAGCCAGGGAACACTGACTTGAGCTCTGAAAAATGATGGGGAGTTTCTCAGAGGAGTTAGAGATAAGTCTGTAACTTGTGAAGAGAAGGGTAAGCTGGAGAACTAGGGTACAAGGGAGGGGATGTAGGACTGCTATGGCACCATCCAAACCCCAGGAAATGCTCCAGGTCCCAAGGACAAGAAAACAGTGGACAGACATTTCTTCTGCTTCAGATCTCTGATGTTAAGTCAACTAGCTGCATGTGGATAGTGTAAAAAACCCCTTTATAACCTCCGTGGTATATCCCAAAAAGAAGGTTAAAGGAGGGGACAACAGTAGGTGCAAGCATAAAAGTGTGACTGAGAGGCCAGGGCCACAGTCAGCGTTCAGAGCCTCCCCAGGCCCAGGGGAACAGAGGAGAACAAGGATCCAGCACAAGTCCAAACACAGGTGCCTGGTGTGCATCCATAAGGGGCAGCTACACCAGGACTGTGACACCCCATAAACACCCTCCTTTGCTGGGATTAATCATGCTTCTGCTGTGAGTCCTCCCTGCCAGAAGGCTGAACATGAGGTTTGCGTTCTTGCTCCCAAGTAACCTGGCTGCAGTCCCACAATAATCTAAATGTGTACTGTATTTGCACAAATAGCACCAAGCTCCTCATGTCCATCCAGCACATTTTTGCATATTAAATAGCCTTGCAAAATTGCATGTTATGTGTTTGAAAGAAATGTGAAGACCAGATTAGGTTTTTACTATTAATGCCCTCTCTAAACTAGGCATGGCCCCCACCCTGGACAGTGAAAGCATTGCTAGTCCACTTCCATTTCTCCTTAGTTTCATTTTCTGGTTCTCAGGAATCTTCTGAAGCATTTCACTTGTAAACTTTCAGGGGGTTGTTCCAAACTCAGTTAAAAAGTTGTGGGTTTGGCAGGTAAGCATTACTGTGATACATAGTGAGCTCTGCTTTCCATTATCTATTCACTCTTGACCACTCTCTGGACATAAGAAACTTGGCAAACAAAAAGGGAAAAAAAAAAGCGAGAACAAGAGGAACTTAACTACTGAATAAGAAATAAGGTGAGGGGATCATACGCAGCATCTTTTAATTTCCTCCATTCCAGCCTTTGTGAAGAGTCCCTTCCTGCCGTGTAGATCATTTCTATTTCATGGAAGAAGACTGACTGCTTCACCTTCCTTATTTTCCTAGAAGAAAAGGTGGTCTCAATCCCTCTAAGACTAGCTCTCAATCATCTTCATGAATAAGACAGATGAATTAATATAGGCTGATGCACAGAAATTATCTCACGATGACTTAAAATATTTTAAACCTTAAAACTGTAAGAGTTCCCCCTTTTCAAAGAATTCTGATCCTGAGTCCATACTTGTATTGATTTATATTTCAGTTAAGTCCCCTGTTTTGGGCATGTAAGAGAAAAGGGCAAAGACATCTGGATTTTTTAACCATGAGGCTTCATTGTTATGTATAGATAAATAACATATAAAGAAATAGAAAAATATCGTAAAAAGATAAAGTGAAGTAACCTGAAAGCCAAAAGGAAAGTTTCTGTATGATAAGATGTCTTGGGTTCAGCAGTAGCAGTCATTTTTCTCCTTATTAGTAGCTGGTGCAGTGTTGTGTTTTTGACTTTCAGCCTGGGAACAGCACTGATAACACCGATGTTTTCAGTTGTTGCTCAGTAATGTTTACTCTGACCGAGGCCTTTCTGAGTCTCATGCTCTGCCAGGGAGGAGGGGAAGCTGGGAGGAAGCAGAGACAGGACACCTGACCCAAACTAGCCAAAGAGGTATTCCATACCACAGTACATCATGCCCACTATATAAACCGGGGGCAGTTACCCGGAAGGGTTAGATCACTGCTCGGTCGGCCTGGGTATCAGTCGGTGGGTGGTGAGTGATTTTATTCTCTTCCTTTGCTGCTTCCCTTATCATCATTATTATTATTGGTGGCAGCAGTAGTGGTTTGTGTTATACCTTAGTTACTGGACTGTTCTTATCTCAACCCGTGGGAGTTACATTCTTTCGATTTTCCTCCCCATGCCTCCGGGAGCTGGGGGGAGGAAGGGGGGGGGAATGAGAGAGAGATTGTGTGGCTGAGTTTAAACCATGACATATGAAAGTAAAAATCCCAACTTAATTAGCAAAGACTTTAAAAAATTATGCTATTAACAAAATTATAAACTTTGAAATGATGGCCAATCCAGTGTTTCTATTTAACATGTTAGAGAAAGCTGCCTGGCATGAACATAAAATTGCAAAAGGAAAAAAAGCAGAAAAATTTGCATACTCAGCAGGTCAAGATTTAAGGAAATGCCTAGTGCCAAGCTATGCTCATTATCTCTGTGGTGATTGCAAATCTTGATTTGCTAAGTCATTAGTAACTGCGGAAGCAGTCACCTTCCTTCCACCCAGGATAAATACTCCCTCCCAAACTCTCCAGATCACTGATTTGGTCCAGCATGTAAACCCTCCCCACTCCTCAACTAGGATTAACTGAGCTGTGATAGAGTTAAAGCGTCTCACCACACTTCCACTGGCAACTTGAAGTGAACATCCTTTGGCCAATTTATTTCCTCAGCCAAAGATTATTTTCCTAGAAAGCTGTCCTACTGTGCTCTCTGCACCCCTCCCAGCAAAACTGCACTGCAAAACTACACTTGAAAATCGACTAGTGGACTGAATATAGAGAACAGGCCAGTGCTTCTACATGGGGAGTTTCAGCATAAGAGAACACTTTATGAGGCAGCTGTGCGTTGTTCTCTGAACTCATACAGCACATGCTGGTTGAGAATTAGGACTAAAATCTTAGTGTAAATAAAAGTCAGCAGGAATTTTGTGAGTGAGGTCAGAATTTCACCCAAGTTTTGTGGTTTTTTTTGCTTATTTCACTCTGTAAACAAATAGTAAAATTATTTTATTCCCATAGTGTAAATAAGCAATGGAGTGTAAAATTAAATATCTTTAATGTTGAATGAAATTTCTTGAAGCCCAGAACACGGACTTCTTTCCCCAGGGGAAGTCTTTTAATGTTGTGGGTCACAGTTTCTTTGTATTCTCTATTTCTATCGCTGTTTTATAGCTTTCTCTCAGTTGTTCTTAGGTAATTTATACTGTAGAAGGGATGGAGTTGCCCTTTTGTCGCAACAGCTTTGTTGGAACAGGAGGCCCTGGTCGCAACTATCCTCTCAGGTATTAAAATGATGATGAAGCTGTATAAACATACGATGAATAAAAAAAAAAAAGAAAAGCAACCACAATATTAAAAAGATCTGTCCATAACCCTTGTTGAAAAATAACTGGCTCTTCTTTTCCCACATTAATAGCTATGTATTAATTTGAGGAATGCTGTACATAACCATTTTTACAGTTAGAATTGTACTCCTAATATCAGTCATTAAATGGA